CTGCATCTTACATCTTAACTAGCCTTTTTATTTTTATGTATGTTTGTAGTACCCTGGACGCAGGACATTTCGGTATATTTGTGTTACTAAATTTTTCATCAGATTCCTTCAGAGCTCGAAAAGTGTAAAAAATCGAAATAGTTAGTAACTTCTGTATTATAAGTTTACATTACCTGCAAGAAACTAGAGAGGAGGTTCTACAAAAAATGTAAGCACAAAGCAGACAAATACATCTCAGAGATACATTCTTAGACAGGCACAGAAACCAATCATGATGAATCTGGAAAAAGTGTGGTTACAGACTAATGAAAATATCATTATCAATTTAGGGACAATGCTCTACCACGAAAAGAACAAATCGATTTGATTTGATCCACAGATGACCAATCAACTAGTCAGTAAGAACAATACGGGACGCGTAAAAATAATAAAAGTATTTACTGGCGATAAATATCAAGTTTCAGTATATACTGTTGGACGCGCGCCAGTTCCAGTAGTAAGAATCAAGGTAAAAACTTTACTCTGCAGTAAACGAAGTGTGGAAATTTAGTGTGATGACAGCCAAAGTCAAAGTTAGTTAAGGAAATTTGGGGAAGTTATCAATAAACGCATCACCTTCAACGAGTGAGTCATTATTGGAATTTGTGAAAACTATGATAACATGAAATCTGTAGATAAATCAAAGAATATGGCTGTGATGTACTTGAAAATAGAGTGATAAAGAATATTGAGCACAAGTGGAAACAACGAAGTGCTGCTATGTAGAGTGCATGTATAGCGGATGTACTCGTACACATGAATACATCTACACAAAAAATCCTGTTGAATACATATGACTCACCCGCAAAGGCTAATGACTTGTTGTAATTATTCACAACAGTGTCAAGTGAACTAGTTGGTCCTATAAGGTAACGAAAAATAACGGTACTATTACTAGTTAACTAATAGTCTTGAAAATGGAAGGTAGTGTGTAAAAGCAGAAATAAGATGTTAGGCTATATCGAGGCAATACGCACAGTATGCACATATGTCAATTAGAGACTGACCAGTTGCGGTCCTAACACATCGATGGGAAGATTCAAACAAACAGTACCAAGTGAATTTAAGATGTTTCTAGTTCACAGGTACTCTCTAATGGAAACAATTAATAGTTGGCTATATGGCGTGCCAATAAAGTGTTAAGAGACGAACAAATTACTCGGCATCCAATGCTTCTTTAAAATAACATCATGATTTTAGGATGGCTGGGAGATTTTCCTTTCAAGTCATTTTTGCATAAAGGCAATGTGTTTTTAGACAATATATAGCGAATTGTGGGCGTCAGCTTTTCTCTTACGTCTTTTATAATCCATTGTTAAATTTAGTGTATGAATGATGAGTCGTCGTTCTACAATCTACAAAAAATACTGGGTTGCTGTAAATCATTCAAAATTGATAAAAGTTTACTTCGATCAGTGTAAATCAAAGTTGCCTTCAGGAAACTGTTAGATTTCTGTGTTGAAGACACGGAAAATATATTCCAATACCTGTGTGTTGTAGAGGGAAACAACGTGGAAACTAATCTGGTTATCAAAATACAACGTCAAAATCAAAGTTTTCATAAACGCGGCTTAATTGTTGCTCACTGAATAAGAAATAACTACGGTAAAATAATGAAACCATATACTATAAGAAAAATAATTATCATAAGTATGTTATAGAAACGAGCTTAAGATAATCGCAACTGATTATCCGTCAGCTCTTAGGGAAACAGTACAGCTTTTGTTCACAGACGGTACTCAAAAACAAGTCGCAATATTAAGTACGGTTAGATTCTACATAGCTAACAAGTCTACTAGGGTCTTCAGTAGCTTGCTATTGTTATAAGTTTGGAAAAAACATAAACTTGCCCTCATAAATATAGATCACCCGTCCTTCATGGTCATTAAAAGTGTTTGAAAAGATTCAGAAGATTTTCTCAACTGTTTTTAATTTGACCTGAGTGTTTAAAGTAAAGACTAGGAGTTTAAGCCTAGGGTTCTCATCACGCCTTGTCATAAGCTATAATGTGAAAGTGCTCTGTACCCATATCGGTCATTAAATTCTCACAAAAATGAGAAATGCGATGTTAAATTAGTCAGTTCATAAACATTAAAGCCGCTAGTTAGGGGTTTGTTTCGTAGTAGAAGGTGAAAACTGAGGATTGTGGGAGTTCGGAAGAATCATTAGTTGGTACGAATACCACAATAACACAATAAATTTAATATTTGCAAGGGAATCTCTGGCACAATTTGCAGTGAGGCATCCATTCACCTAATGATTAGTAAAAGGTGTAAAATTATTGCTTCTATACTGATTGCATGAATGATAACTTCGTCGAGCTTTTTAGTGATACCATTCTGAATCCTACTCCGTAGCGTAGTTGAAATCCTACGCTACAAACTTCTTATTTGTTATCAGGTTGTTTTAATCTTACGTTCGTATTATCACTCCTTCATGTCGATTGACCTCTTTATTACGTGTAAGTTATTTCTATGTGCTCACTCGGTGGTTAGCCGATTGTCTGCTATACTCTTGAATCAGTTACCTCACATGTTTCAAGCTAAGCGCATGCTTGCTTCTCAACCCAGACCGACTGCAATCCTAGTACTAGTCATCAAATGGAGTAGATCGGCACGTTTTTTCTATTTATTTAGAATTATATCAACTGCTTCGTATTATTTCTTTCCACCTGTCTTCCTACTACAAATTATACTTTGGTATTATCGTCATGGAACTAAAGCACATGTACGACCTTGAGAGGTGCTAACTCACCTTGCGAAATAAATGGATTCCCCGCTTAATTTCTAAAGGCGCTATCTCAAAACAGGTGGGTTCATCTCCGTTCATTAGTTTCACCATTGTTATTTTATTTTTGTGTAATTGCCTAAAATTGTAGTGCGGATGTGATTTTTAGTGATCAACTAACACGACACATTGAGTTCCTTATTGTTTGTGAATGGAAATTACACCGTGTAATAGGTGATGATCCGTGTTCTATCGACTGCGTTTTTTTTTTACAATATTTTCATCTGAAGCCAAGCGTTAGGCGCTGAACCAGCTTTTTGCCGGCCTCCAGGTTGTATTTTTTCAATGTCTGGAGAAACCGTGGTAACCCTTTGACGCTCGCTTCAAAATGTTTTTAAAATATAGAGTAGTCAATTTCTTAACAGTCACTTTAGATATCTATCCACTCATTATCTCTTCATATGGATTCCTGTTCACGCATAACATTACTGGTTTTAGTGTTTTTTTGGATGTTAGCTTGTATTGTAGCGGAGACCCATGAACTTTGATGTCAGGGATGTTTTGTGGTCTGCCTCTCTTTAGCATTATTTGAAAGATAATGCATTATGAGTGATGACCGACTTCTGAAGTTAGTAGTTTCTGATCACTTACCGTCTATACGGATTCATCAGTGTATTTAAATAACACTGAACTGTAACTTACTGTGTATCTAGATATTGCGTACCGTTATATATATGCAAATATTCTAGAGTTCCCCAAGAATAAAGCTTATGATAACGTTTGTGTTAACATGCAATTGGATCCAACTAGATGACATTTCTTTTCGTTAATGAACCTGCGACATTGTCATAAGTGCTGTCTTTGTTTTCGCAGTCAGTTACAATAAGTTTGTCAGCATTTCACTGCGTATACTACAGCTAAATCTGGAAGTGAACGTTTTGTGTGGGTTAATAATAGTGACCTCTCCAAACATTCGTCATTTCTGCTTATCCTGTTCTTGTAATAGACTAAACAAGTGTTTCAGACTACTAAAGACCGCGTACTGGTTTCTTCTGTGCTACCATATTGCCAACAATCATCGTTGGAGAGGCTCAATAGAAGAATATCGCTCGTTCTGGAATACATGTTTAGACTCTTATCATGCTCTAATACGAGCATGCATTTGCTTGCGCCTCAATGGACGCAGAAAAACTACACCAAGAAGATCCATTAGGATTGAACTGAGTGACGAGAAAGTCAAAAGTAGATTCCAGGAACAACCAAGGGGTTTAAAAAAGCCAATGGATTACTTTTAAGTCTATTGCACTGATGGATTCTCGTAAACTCATCCCATCAGGCTCCGAACACGATGAAGTCAGATCTAGGTTAACCAAAAGTCTACGGAATGATCGTGAGCAAAGGTGGGCAACGAAAGTAAAAGAAATGGAAAATGCAGTGGCTGTAGGCAACACCAGACAACTCTTCAGACCAATAAAAGAAACCGGAATTAAGGAGTCAAATGCAATTGAGACAATCTCGAAAAAGGACAACACTTATCTGCCCTCAGCCCAGACGTTTAGAACGATGGTCGGAATACTGTAAGGAGCAGGTCGGTTGGCCTTCGGCTACATAATCACCATTCATCAGGTTTTAGAATACAGACATGCTTATCAGCGTTCGACAAAGATAGTTTTTCTTGACTTAAAAGAAGTATTCGACTCTGTAGACCGAGAGGCTCTGTGGCAGTGTCATTGAAAAGTGTACCTCAGAAGTAAATAAACCATGTGAAGGCTCTTTACTTGAACAATACCAGTCAGGTAAGAGCTTACGGCAAACTTCCATTTGATTTTACAACCTCATGTGATGTCCGACTAGACTGTCCACTATCTCCATTTCTGTTTAATTTCATCATAGACCTACTGTTGGAAATAACACTCTCTTCGACTTAATTTTCAGGAATTGATATCCTTCTAGGAGGTTCGCTTATCGACTTAGAATGCGCAAATGACATAGTCCTGTTTGGTGAATATGTTGATAAAATGCAGTCTTTTGGCAGCACGGAACAACAATGCCAGGATGTTTGGGATGCTTTTCTCTCCCTCTAAATGCAAGTTGTTGCTTCAGGACTGGCTTGCGTCAACATCTGAACTAAGGATAGGGAGTGAAGTAGTCGAACGCGTCGACAACTTCACTTATCTTGGAAGTCTGATCAGTCCTAATGGGTTGGTGTCTGACGAAATCTCAGCACGGATTCAAAAAGCTCATTTGGCTTCTGCCAACTTACGTCACCTATGGCGAAGACGAAATATCCGTCTATCAATTAAGGGGAGAGTATATTGCTCAGCAGTTCGTTCTATTCTTCCTTACGGCTGCGAAACGTGGCCATTGAGTATACTCGTAAGTTACTAGTACTTGACCACTTATGTCTTAGAAATATTGATTGCATCTGCTAAGATCACCGGGCAAGTAATAGTGAGGTTAGACGCGGAATATTAGAGAATGATGGTAAATCAGTTGATGAGGCTGTAAATCCTCACCTGTTGAGATAACTGGGCCACGTGTTATGTATGCCTGAACACCGAATACCATGACGCAATACTGACTAGTATTGGAGATGGTTGGAAGAAAGTTAGGAGCGGCCAAACCAAAACGTTAGATCAGTGCTTGAAGTCATTAGCTTCAAGTCTGGACCATGCTGGTAGTTGTAGACTACTTGGTTGGGGTCCGCGCGACTATCGTAACCAATGGTTGGAGACTGGGTGACATGGCTCAGAACCGAGCACAATGGCGAAGGTGTATATACTCTTTGTCCTCTCTTAAACCGTGAGACTAGAATTGCTTTATATCTTCCTTCCTTCTTGTATTATGTCCTTATACACAATCTTTCCGTTACATATTACTGCTATTGAAGTAACTAATATGAATTTGGTGTTCATCTTGTTGTGCTAATGAGGTGTAGCAACTTGGGCCGATGCATATATGTGCCTGGTCCTACGTTGTAGATAACTGAAGACTCCAATATTGAATTTTACTTAGGAATTATGCCATAAAACTCAAAAAAGTTTTATTGGGTCTATAAGGTGTGTTGATTACAATCTTATGTACAGCGGGAGAGACAAATAAAATTCCTGAAACCATCGTCTGTCTGGAGCAAAAAGGAATAAAAAACTAAGTTTGAAGTACTGACTTAGATATAGTAGTGGTATTTTTAGAAAACAGCACTTATTGTCGAAAAGCTTAAAGGTGGCCAATCACTTTTTGGATATATAGGTTTGATGAAATCTGTCTGTAGGCAGTTTCTTCAATAACTAGTAGCTTAGTTAGATCCTTGTTTTTATTGGCGGTTATGAAAGCCTCCAATAAATAATTCTGACTCTATCAGGTGTTGTTCGATGGTTTATCTCATTCGCAAGTGTGAATTTCTAAAAACCTGTCTGATCCCGAGTGTTCAAACATGTGGCTTAATGCCAAAAAATTTAATTCACAGCTGGGTAGCCCTAAACCATTCAAGGTATTCTGGTTATTGATTGTACAAACCCACCAAACTAAACTAAGACTCCTGTTTTATGCGTTTTCACTGTGTTCGATAATCGGCTACATAATATGTTTGTGGCGACCCAATTAAATATTAACTCTGTAATAAGGTACAGGTTTGTGACCTAAGGTTTGAATCACACCTATATGATACTTTTCTCTTCAAAGCGAAGTAGATAGGGTGGGGTTCTAACCTGCAAATTCATAGCTCCAGATGTTAGACCTACCGTTTCACATCCGAATAAACTGTTTCGAATGCCTTAAACGGATTGTACGTTTACTTTCGTAACATTGTTTTGTATTTAATATGTTTGTATAATGTAAGCTCTTTAGGAAAGCATATTTCGTATTTATAATTGCTACTTAGATTATCGACTTGGTGGCTTAGTGGTCGAAGTTATTGACTCTAAGCCACTGTATTCTGGTTAGCCTCCGTCCTCATTGTACATCCGTTTGGGCAACTGAGTATTTTTTATCAGTTGTCCTTATACATAAGTGTTGCTCAAAGCCGATTACATAAATTTGTATCCACCGAATCTGTTGTATCATTCATCGTGCGGTCTAGGAAACTAGTATTGGATATGCAATAAATACACTTTACTTTCAACATAAAACGATAGCGATTCTATTTCCCATAGTTTCGTATTTTACTATTGGAACACCCGTAATTATTTTGTAATTCCTCTCATGTTCTCTGTTCTCCAAGACCGTTTACACTTAACAAAGCATCTGTGTAATTATTCAAAGGGGGTTACGCCGTTTCTGAAGCGTATTCAATAATAAAAATGATGGTAAGTTAACTTACTAACTGTTTCAATCAAAAATAATAGTTGCATCCTTCGGATTCTGAAGACATTGTCGAAGAGAGAGTAATAAACGAAGAATACAAGATATGGAAGAGGAATACTCCGTTCTTGTACGATATGCTGATGTCACACTGCTTGGAATGGCCAAGTTTAACTGCCCAATGGTTGCCGTCTGTGGAAAGGTAGGTAGTTTTCTCAAATAATGTCGTACAGGACTGGGCGAGATTACTCCGTTCATCGTTTAATACTCGGAACTCACACATCTGATGAGCAAAATCACTTGTTGATAGTTACGGTTCATCTACCAAATGACCAGGCGGAGTTTGATGCAAGTGCTTATGATAGTGAACGAGGTGATTTCGGGGGATTTTATTTTCCATCTGGGAAGTTGGAAATATCAATGAAAATAAATCATGAAGGCGAAGTCAATCGTGCTAGGTTTATGCCACAGAACCCAGACATAATAGCTACCAAAACACCAAGTGGTGATGTTTTAATATTCAATTATCCAAGACATCCACCGAAAACCCCATCAGACCGTGGTTGCCAACCTGATCTACGTCTCAAGGTACGGTGCTATTGGTGTTTATCTCTTTTAATTACCCTTTTCTGAATCCAGTATATAATAAAGTATGTGTGACCACATAAAACAAACCATGGAATTAGACCAATCGGTTTTCACTACTCTATTTCTAAGAACATCCGGTATCTCAGATTTTACTCAGTTCGCTGTAATCCATGAGCTTGATAGTGATAATTGTTGGTATACATTACAGAATATTTTTCATCTCAAAGTTCTTATTTTTAGTTTTCACTGAAAGAAAATAACTTTAATAATGCTTGGTTTTCATATTAACGTATAAGTCAAGTCCTTTGTATATAAAGAAATATCCATCTACATATTCTGTTATATTTTAGGGCTTTCAAGTTATTAGGAGAAAAATGCTCTGTTCATCTTTTATCACAATTGGAAGTGTCAAAAATAAATTCGAACCAAAACGTAGTAAGATTTGACGACTTTTTACATTCAGTGTGTTTACGGAAACACCTGCCTCATGTGCACAATTATCTTATGTCAAAACAATAAAGTGCTGAAAATAAATATATTTTGATTCTATCACCTACATCAAACCAAGGAAAATACATTCAGAGGTTCCTACTCTGATTTAGCCTAATGGAAGAAATATGTGATAATCAACTGCCTCTAATTAAACAAGTATCCAGGCAGGAATGTCTTCTGATTAATTGTTATTTACACAAACTTAAAACATTGGAATCAAGAGATATACCACAGATACCACATTGTGAAGATACAAAGGAAGAGACATCGGCATGAAATTAATCGAAAAATAATGTTATTATGTAAGATTCATTCCAGGAAATTTCATAGTTATCATCAGTGTGTAATTAGTGTTCTGTAACCCGTTTCGATAAATACTTTCTTTGGACGAATTCAATTTCAGTGCTAGATAAAAAGTTTTGAGAAAAACAATTACCACGAGATAGCTGTCAAAAATTATCAGTGTGTGACCGCATGAAATTATTTTCAAGTAAAGCTTGAACTTAGTCTATCCTGGGACTTACTTTAAAGTTCAGATGCCATCTGACTGATGAACCAGTAAATTGGTAGCTGCTTTCGACTTCAAGACCCGAATCACTTTCTTGTGCTTTGTTGTTAGACAAACCTCCACATTTGGGACTTTTAGTTTATTTTGGGATGAGATTGACTATCTTCAACAGTGTTGCGTAAAATTGTTTGATCGGTACATTGATTAATCTACTTTAACCATAAAATTCGTAAGTTTTAATAACTCACGTAGAGTTTAGTTTCACAGAACTGCCAAACTGTTTTGAATTTTCATTCATTTACTGTGAGACCAATTGATATCTTATACTGAATTACGTGTTCCTTCTATTGAGCAATTACACTACTTTTCGATTTGGTCTTCATTTTAGGGCCATCAAAAAGAAGGTTATGGTCTTTCATGGAATGTGTCTCTTAATGGTCATCTTCTTTCAGCATCTGATGATCAGACAATTTGTTTATGGGATGTTAATGCTGCTCCTCTAGATGGCTGTGATCTAGATGCGATGGCTATCTTTACGGGTCATCATTCAGTAGTTGAGGACGTTTCCTGGCACCTTTTCCATGGACATATTTTTGGTTCAGTAGCAGATGATAATAAACTTATGGTTTGGGATACACGGAGTTCAAATCGTACAAAACCTCAGCACCAAGTGGATGCTCATACAGCCGAAGTCAATTGTCTTGCTTTTAATCCATTTTCTGAGTTTATTATTGCGACAGGAAGTGCGGACAAAGTAATTAAGTATTTTACCCTCGTATCTTTTTTTTACACATAAATAACCAAATAACATTCATGCAGTAATATCATCGTTTTTTTAAGTGAACAATGTTGCGAAACTTGTGAATATTTATTTCTATGAGCCCAATTTAGTCCCCTCGAATTCAGTAAAATTAACCGTGGAGCTGTGACTTGGCAGTTAAAAGTATTGGGCCTTCAGTTGTTAGTTTTCGGATTCGAACCATTCACCTACTTCGCAAAAAACCTGTAGACTGCGATAATCGTTTCGTAAGTGTAATCAGCAATACTTCATGTCCTTCGGACAGCCAGATTCAGCATAGGACCTGTCGCATGTACATCAGTTCAAGTTGCAACATCACATCAGCACAGTGAGATAACATAAAAAAGGCGATTTCCGGAGTAGTAGCTGTGGTAACAAAATCAACGGTAGCAGTAGTAAAACGTTTGTGTGCATAAGAAGTGTATAGGATGTCGGGACATGCTCTAAAGGAATACTAAGAGTAAGTGAACCTGGGTCATTGCGAATGGTTCTGAACGATGTCATCCATCATCTCCAACTACTGGTTACAAAGATCGTGCGAGTACCAATTAGATTATCTACATCTACTTACACGGTTCAGTGTAACAGTATGACTTCATGAACTGTTACCACGTTTTGGTTTGTCTTCGAGGTTTCTTCCAGCTTATTCTTAAACCAACCATCCTTGTACATTAAAGTAGGCAATAATTGTACATACGTAGCAAAAATTGCATTATTTATTTTCCTTTCATGTTAGTTTGAGGTGTTTCTTTGTATCTATGAGGTTCGTTATTCAAGTGACTAGGTTCATTTTAACTCATCACCAACTCATTTGTCAGCTTCAAAATTAGTGTTGATATATATATATATATATATATATATATATATATATATATATATATATATTAGGTAGTTGATTAGTTTTCAGAATAACAAAGCTTTTTTAAATTTATTTGTTCCGTAAACCATTTTAAAAGAATATGATTCCCAATTAACTTCAAATGAAGTGATTGTACTTCATTTGGATAGTCTTTGTTTTCAGGACCAATATTCTCATTATTTATAACTCATCCAACAGGAAGAAAAGAAATAAATGTTGTTTGAATTTATTGCTGTGTACATGGTACAAGATTGTTTCTTGGTTATACGTGTACTAATTGGTCAGTTAGAGTAACATTAGTGCAGTCAATTATTTTACTGTGGTTATTTAGTTTTCTTACTTAGTCGGGCGGGAACTAACTAACTAATCATACTTAATTTTATTATGTTTGCTTTTACATCGATTATTTTGTCAGATTTTCAGTAAATGAATTCATTGTTCTGTTATGAAACCGAGCTGTATATTGGAGTATACGTTTACCACTGTTATATTAATATCATGATCCCTCATCCGTTTCAAGAAACAGTTGGCTTTGAAACATTTCAGTTATCTGAAATCAGGTGTTATTTGCTATTTATAACCAATGTCTTTAATATAGCATTTTTTTATCCAAAAATATCTGTAGACTGTTGCTCTTTGGGATCTGCGTAATCTTCGACTGAAGCTACATTCATTTGAATCTCATCGAGATGAAATATTCCAGGTAAAAATCCAGCATTTTTTAAATGCATCCTTGAAATCTAATTACATGAGTTTGTTTTGTCAGCGTATTCACTACATTATACAAACTCACATTCAGACTGATAGTATTACTTAGTTTTCCGATAATTTTTATCTTTGAGTTAAAAGTAAGTAGAAAGGTGATGAAATATCCTGGTTTTTAAGATTACTGTTTTATGTTCTTGCTATTTGATTTTACTGGGTTGTGCAATTACATTAATTTGTAACGATCATCTAATTCATGTAACTACTCTTTTAGAAACGCAGATCGCGTAGTTTGTTTGGTTACAGCTTCAAACCTTCATGCTGTTCTTAAAAACGGTCCAGATATCATTGTTAGATATATCTTAGAGTAGTAGAAATCAGTTAAATAAGATAATCACATTAGTAATTTTTATCATTACATGTTCACATAATTCATTGGTTCATTTGAAAGATAGATAATTGTGTTCACTACTTTGTATAACGTACCATTCAAGACTTATTTCTAAGTCATAGGTTTGCTTTTATCCTTACTAAGCCGGTAGTTAAAACATTACAATAAATCAGCTTACGTTGAACACTGACAAAATACCAGATAGATAATCGTGAAGGAAATCTGCTAAACTGCAATTCTTCAGGTATGTTCAGATAAAAAAACAGATTGCTTAGAAAAGACTGTTCAATAATTTTTTAGTGTTATCGTATTAGAAAACTAAACTGCTCACAACACAACGGTGTATTGACTTCTCAAAATAATATAAAATTTTACAAAATATATTGCTTCTGTTGGTTTGGAGTCATAACCATTAAGCACAGGGCTACTAAAGTCAAGGTGAACAATTCCCCAATTTTGTGAAAATGATCTTTGCTATGAAATTGGTATTCAGCTGCTTCTATTTTCCATTTAAGTGCTACTGATGTTTAGTATAAACATGGTTGTATCGTCTAAACATATTTCACCGCAGGTTACTTTAATGAAAAGTTGAATCTGGCTTTTTTAAACTATTTGTAATATATTTTCATTAGGTCCAGTGGTCTCCACATAATGAAACTATACTGGCAAGCTCAGGGACTGATCGTCGTCTTCATGTCTGGGATTTGAGTAAAATAGGTATTGATCAGACTGCCGAAGATGCTGATGATGGACCTCCTGAGTTATTGTTCATTCATGCTGGGCATACGGCAAAGATTTCAGATTTCTCGTGGAATATTAATGATCCTTGGGCTATTTGCTCTGTATCCGAGGATAATATTTTACAGATCTGGCAAATGGTAAATTGTTAATTTTTCTTATGAAATTGAATTTGACACAAAAATATTGTCATGCTATATGTAGCTTATTTACCAAGTACACGTTTTTGTATTCGACTTTGAGTCACACTGTTTATTTATTTATTTAAATACATAAATATTGTTTCAAGGAAGCACCAGATAAATATGCACCGCACAAATCTCATTTGATTTGTGTGAGGGCTGTGATACTGCCCAGGTGCCCGAACTGAAGCAGGTGGTTTTCTTAGTGGGCCACATCCCGAGCCTTTGACCTGAAGGTCTAGTCCACAAGGCAGTGGAGCATCGTAAGGAGATGAAGTCCCATGGCAGCCGATGACCAACGATTGGTTCATACGCCATTTATTTCCTCAGGATACTGGAGCCCATGTACACCATTGGTTTGGAATCAGGGTTTTCCAACTCCCCTAGGTGAACTCGCCTTGTCCACCAACCCGGTTAAAGCGCCGGACATTCGCTTCCCGTCCTCTCAATTTCGTAAACAACACCGGTGCCACGAGAAGGCAGTTAGTAGGACTTCCTTGGCAGAGGCTATATATTCGCGTGGCCATGTGAGAGCATTTGGAGAGGGAGAGCGGACTCTCCCCACTCTCGGCCGTACCGGGGCATTTGGGGACTTGAGTCACACTGAGTGAAGATTAAAGAAACTGGAAATGTTCGAAGTGAATTAAGTTAAAAGTGATTAGAACTGCCTTCTTACTGATTAAAGACTGAGTCATTCGATCACTAATTCTCCTCTATTTGTCACAACAGTTAGATCCGTTTCTTATGAAATGGTGAGGCGAACTTCTTAGATTTTTCCTCACGAGTTATTGTTAATTATGCCTACTCAACTGTTCACTGTAAAACAAATAAATCTAGTGATAAAATTATTCTCAAACTTTTAAAGTCTTTATGCGCGCATTAATGTCAAACAGTTAGAGTGTCTTTAGATTCTCAGGTGTTTAATATATCTGTTAACTGAACTTAGTATTTACCGCTGATTTGACATTATTACTCTCATTTTCGTTTAATTTATATAGAGATATGGAAAGATGGTAGAACAACTCTCGAGAAATTGGCTAGTCATACAATATAAAAAGCTTGATCAATAAATAAATAAAATACGTTTTTAATTTAATTCGTAATCGATTGGATTATCCCGTTATCGATATTTTTGACTGAATTTTGTTCAGTCTTAGCCGGCATATGTGCATCCTCTGCGGATTCCCTCGATATAGCCATTATCTCTAAATTATATAGAATAGATGGAATTGGTCAAGTGGTATAATTCAAGACACACTTTATGTTCTATTTTGGACTTGTCGGCTGGATATACGTAAATCTCAGAGTTGATGTTCACAGACCGATCAAAATTTGGTTGAAATATCAACAACGGGACAATCCGAGCCATTAAAAATTCATACCTGTTATATAAGTGAGTGGCTATCTGGACACAGTGGCTAAGTGAATAACACTTCCTAAAGTGGACATCGACTCTCAGATGCAGATACATTCAGCCGTCTAGTTCAAAATAAGACGTTACGCGAGTTCTGAATTATACTACCGACTAAATTCCATCTATTCTACATAAAATGCATTTGTCTCGGTCTATTTTTCTTTAGTTTAAAGCTAGTCATATTTACTGTGTTTTTAAACATTTAATTCAATTTTAGGCTGAGAATATATACAATGATGATGAAATAGAGATGGGGAATCCAGAACTTGAACAGCATTCTTAGCCCACTACTCAATCCATTCTGTTTTGTTTTCGTATATTTTCTGTGTTTCCTTAATGTTGTGTATATAAGATGCACCAAGAAATAAACAGCAAATTTTATGTTTTCTACACATGATTTTTATTTTACTAACTCGTCTGTTGAGAAAACGTTTAACTTTGAAGCGTGATCGTTATAATTGATAAAGTGATAGGCCCTTGTTATTAGTGTAATATTGATTAAACCACACAATTTAAATATGTACATTTATATCAGGAAGTTTTGTCGGTCCCTACTTGGTGATTACTAGCTATTTGTAATGACATTTCAGTAGACGTATATCGAAACTCACCGTTTCCACATTAAATTGACTATTCTTAGGGTGAGGACTCCACCTTCTTTTAGGTCAATACTTAACAAACTAAAGGAAAGTTTTCCGGTTAGACTCTTCAATTTTTGGTTCTTTGGTGTTTATGGTTATCGGGATTCTGAAAAGCACTGTTTCACTAATAGAATTTATTGATATAATGTCATAACAAGACTATTCTGATGAAGTATACATAGCATCAAAACGAAGATGTCAACCTAGTGTTTTCGCATGTTTGATAATGAACTCAGTCCATCTCACAAGTAATTGAAAATTATTACAATAAACATGTGGTTAGACTTAAAACAGTTTGAAAATTGCTTTTTGTTTAGTGGCGTTTACACACTTCAATTGATACGTAGACTAGTATTTCTAAAAACTTGTTCTGCGAAATAAATATTAATTTTGGTAACCTAACAGCTATATTTATTTAAAAATTATGTCCAGAAATTAGGGAGTATCAAAAAGTATTCAGTAGTGAATGATATTCATGAACAATGTTCGAAAATTCGCATCATTTCTCCAAAGAGGGGTCCTATCAATAACAAATGCACATGTTACTGAGATGGCAAGCATTAAGTTTGTGCAATTCAAAGTTTTACTCGAAGGGCAATAATTATAGACATATCAGTTGTCACCCAATTTTGTATCGTTTAGGGATTCTTTAATTTAAAATTGTCTTTTACGAATTGACGGTTAAGAAACTATATTGAGAATCAAAGAGGTAGTCGACATGCAAACTGGCCCCAAAACTAACGGGATATAAAGGACGATTTTTAAAAAATGCTGCCTACTCTAATGTAGGCGATCAAAAACACCTGATTTGTACTTTTTTGTTTTTCTAAGACTGTGTTATCTCGCATTAATTACGTTAATTTATGTGTTGGAAACATTAAATTCTTACAAACCAAACGGCTTATTTGTCTCAGCCTTGGCTACTATATGCTCAACGGATTTATTGACTTATAGAAGGTCAGTGTGTATTAAAGTAAGTTCCACAGAGGCGCACTAGCCGTCTTCCGGTAATAAAAATCCACGGTCAAACCAAGTGACACTCGCTCCCCAGATTAAACAGCGATTCCACAAGGGCCTGAATGTAACGCTGGAATCTTTTTTGCCGTTACATCAATTGATCTCATGGGTTGTTGTGGAAATATTCCTGCAGTATATATCTGAGTATTTTTACTGGGGATGACGTAATGTTAAATTCGTCTCTGATGTTACACTGAGCAAACTATTTTCTATGGATTTCTCAGTCTTATTCGTTGTGAACAATTTCTCAGTATGTTTACAAGTTCGTTTTCATAATTTAAGGACACTCGGGTGTAATTTAAATAGATGAGATATGGATTGTCCATATGATCTTGGATCCTCCTGAACTTCCTTCAACCAATGGTGTTTCAATGAAATGTGGGTGGACATACTGTTTTACTTATTTAATCCTTGTGCTCCTCTTGGGGCACCTGTGTCTTTCTATCTCCAGTAGACTTTTCTGGAGTCCCCTGATTTGGTATGGTCAGTACTTTGATTTTTTTTTCACAAGCACTCTCAATAATGGTATTATCTAGTAGATCATGTGAGGGTTCGGGTGCGTTGTTGAGAGTTTTTCAAACTCGTTAGCATCTATGGGTAAGGTTGTGCGAAAATCGTATAGTTCTGCTTGTACAGTTCTTCATTGGTTTGCATGATGATCTGATGCTACATTTGATGCACTCCTTGCTCTTAGGTCTTCCTTTGACACGTATTTTTATTATTGCATATGTGGTCGATCAGTTACTAAGCAGTGTGGTCTTATGATATTTATTTAGCTTCGTGTATGCATTTTTAGAAAAAAATGTATTACTACTTATGATCGTGTGGCTGAAAGTACATAGATCTCAGTTTTCCACCACTTATTGCTTTCTTCCCATCCATTTTGTAACATGAATCGCCCATACTCGGTGTTGTCCATCCTGACCTTGACATTCAGGTCCTCCATAAGGATGAATATGTTGTAATGGTTCTCAACTTCACTATGTTCGAAAGTGAATATACGGTAACTAGGAGGATTCAAAATCAACATTTAACACTCAGGAAAGATCAGAAATGGTGAACGTGGAACACTTGGTCGGCATGGCTCGGCCAAGCAGGCTTGGCCACTTGTTTTGCGGATTAGATGTATTATTCTCTTCCTAGCTTATATGTATTCTCCAGAAGTCCTCAGCCGCAACCCCTTACTGTCACGACAGGACGAATCAGTGTGAAAAAATTATGAGTTTCACGTAATGTCTAGCGGATTAGGTAGTCACATCACTGCATATGTACAATTTTGATGTAGCTCTGTTATTCTAACACTATAGATAAGTGTGCTAATACCGATTAAAACCATAATTTTGCAAGTTCTCCTGAGTAGGTCTCTCCAATAGACTGCAGTCTCATAAAGTTGATCATAATGATCTGTGATTTCAACGCTAGGGACAACTCATTAGATGACATTTTTTACATTCCCCGAAGGCTTTATTTCAAAGGATGGTTTGATTATCATTCAGCGCATGATTTCCTATATTATAAACTCATCTTGCGCTTTTCTAGATAGCATAAGTGTACGTGGATGAAGTTTTCATCTTTCAAATCCGCATACATCTCTCCTGAAGTTAATCTTTTTCTCCATATTTTGTCTGATGAGTCTCACTTATTTCGGGACTGGCCAAGTTGTGTTTGATCACTCCTGAGACTGACTGAATGATCGTCCGTTTCCCTTGCATTCTCTGGACATCCCGTCCCCCTATATGTTCACAAATGAGATCTCTGGGCTTTCAGCAACTGCTGGTTTCGTACCTGATGTACTAACGGTCGATAATTATTTTTCCAGTATCATTCCCGAACCTATCTTCAAATCGCTCTGAACGATACTGTTAAGTAGTTATATGGGATGCAGGTTTGCTTCCACTAATCACGAGCCACAACTGCTTTGAAGAAATCATGACATCCAGGAGCAGATAAGTGGCAGCATAAATCTATAGTTTGCGGAAATAGTGAACAACGTTGCTACTTGCAACTGATATTCTCTTTCTATCGTTTGCTTTAGCCACTATGTACGTAAGTAATGGCCAATGCTGCGCTACACCAAGGAAGCTATGAAAAAGGAAGAATATGCTTTAGAAAACTAAGCATCGGTACAGTCAAACAAGCTGTAATGTTTTTAACAAACCAACTTTATTGATTACAGACTTTCACTGTGGGAATTCATGACTCTTCTACATGAGAACCCTTCAACTCCAAGGGCGGCGTCCGATAAGCTTGGCTGTGTTCCATTTTTGTTTACTTTGTTGCAGGGTTGTTTTCATGAGGTAGGATTGGTAATCCTCTGTAGAGGCAGTGGGATGTCGCTGAGCCCTAGCCAAATCACTCGGTTGTTGAGTCAGTGAGTATCGAACAGATCTTCAATCCCTGTTAAAGTGAAGGACAACAAACGCTCATCAGTTAATCATACGCCATGGACTGGTCCATGCAGTAGTGGTCTCACGAACATCTCTGTACTCCTTCTTACTAATATATTTACGTAATCATACCCTTTGTGTTATACAGTCTTCAAAGCAGGCATAGTAATTTAATACGTCAAAGGGGGTAATCCACGTTAGATGATGACCATGAGGTGTGACTTTGAAGTTAGTTGGTTCGTTACATCGTTCCCGTCTAACTCGATTAGGCCTTCCATCATCATCATCATCGAGGTTGATGGCCTACACCTCATTCACACCCATACGGACCGAAAGTAGCTTAAGATTGATGAGAGTGGCCTTATGAGTAAAGCTGGTCGTAAAGTCACGATCTATAATCTGAATAATTTGATAGTTTCTATCAGAAGAATGATAATGCAATGTGGTTTGGGAATTGTGTGTGTCGTTGATTTTATAAAATGAACTCGCGTGGTATTCGCTTTTTCATCTGAAGACCACGACCACCTACACTACTAAGCGCCGAACAGCTTCAGGTTATTAGAAGAATATGGCAAAATATATTTCATAATAATATCTTTGTAACAAAATTTTATGAAACAGACTGTTCCTTTACGTTTTCTTCTTGGTGTTGCGATGATGCCCCGAATCTTTGGTAACAGTAGTGAGGTCGAGCAAATGTACGGACTAGTGAACAACTTGAACAAAGCCTATTAAGCTAACTTGAACACGACATTGAAGTTCTTCACCGTGGTTATAATTTTTTTCTTCAATATACATTACTGATACACAATTTACGGAATTTACCTTACCTTGATAGAATGCAATTCATGACAAGAACTTATTTTCTTCCGAAGAATAAGTTAATATTGCCACCAACATCGACTAATAACGCGCGGGTTATTTCTTCATTGGAGTACTACTGTGCTGAGTACAAACAAATTGAGCTATTTGTAAAAACGTGGTCACCTACCACGTCTGTGTTCTTCAACGTAAATTTTAGTACGAATGTTACAGATAAATATCTTAATTAGTCGCCTTGTTGCTCCACTCGGAGGAGATTGATATTTTGAAAAGCATATCATACTTAAGTTTGATAATGAACCATGGGTTGGCTAAATAAATTCGAATACTAGTCAATACTAAGTTTATACACTATATGAGCACTGTTCAATAAAGTCATGAGATAGCAGCAGTAAAATAAAAACAGTCTGCATAGAATAAAGTATTTAGAATGGATGGTAATAATAGTCTGGGTAATTTGGTTTTGTTTAGACAAATACACTCGGCTTAAACCGATATTGTGGCTCACTTGCTTTATTCACC